AGTGGCCACCTTTGACTGGCCGCATAGAGATGCGCTTCCACACTCAAGTACACTTGACATTTTCGTGTGAATTCAGGCCCTTAGTCAGAAATTCAACCACTTCTTCTCACCTGTCTCACCTTAGTACAGTGGAAACAACCAGCTTTGATGGGGAACTGGTCGTGGCCTGGTTGGTGTTTGTTGGGTTTTTGGTTCCGTTGCTTTTGGAGCTTTTCTGGGTTGGGTTCTTGTGTCTCTTTCCCCATCAACAGGTTGTTTCCTTCCCTTCATTGATGATCTGGGCACACCGCCCACATGGCGTCTGCACTCGTGGAAAAAAAATTGGATGTCTACTGTCTGGCTCGATGCACAATCGGAAGAATTGCCCACCAAATCAAGTGATCGAAGAAAAGGCATAGCATTCCACTTGTGGAAAGGTGGGTCCCGCATCAAGTGTAGTCACGGGGGAAACCTGCATTTGCTACATGCTGTGAATCGGCCGCTGCGCGGAGCCTCTGTCAACCTTGGTTGCTTTCTTTGGCCGGCGCTCGGGCGGTCGTATTTTGGAGTTGAGCGGCTGCCAACGGCCACAGCAGCATTTGCAGGGGGAGACCGGAGCGAACCTGTGTAGTCTTTTGTCTCGTGGTCCTGGCTCACCAAAAAACCAGTGCCTTCCCCCCAGGTTGGGTCTTAAGGCAAGAAGGTGCGGCGACAGTCTTACTTGCTGTCGTGCTGTGGATGATCGCTTTTTCTTTGATTCGAAGAATGCTATGCCCTCGCACGGATTGGAGACCAAAGTACGACAGTCAATCAGCTGGCACCACAGGCACGATTTCGGCCGAGAGCCTTTGAGAAATGCAGCACTTTGCAGCAGCTCAACTTTGAAAGAACGGAGTACGATGCGGCCGATTTGCATCGCTCCATCCCCGAGGGTTGCTTCTTCGAGGCAGGAATGGAGTCATTAGTCTTAACAGCAGACTTCAACTGGTTGGGTCCAGCGGCATGTGAACATTGCACAAAGTTGCAGGCAGTTGACATCTCACAAACTGACATTAATGAGATGCCGGTGGCATCTTCGCGCATTGCTCCCAGCTGCTGGCCAAAGCAGCAAGACGTATTGGGCGACATGCCCTCCTCAATTGCGCCTTCTTGGAGGCGCTACATATCCCACCCACCCTGCTCTACATCGACAGACGAGCCTTTGGTGGCTGCACACAGTGTGCAAGCTCGTCAGATTGGGATGCAAAAAGACCTGGAGAGGCACTCACGCAGAACACAATGCATTCGAATCTTGCGCACAACTGGCGCTCCCCAAATGGATCCGCCTCCTCCCTAAGCCGACCGACGGCCTAGAAGAATGGGCTGACTTTAGGAGAAGCTGTGCAGAAGAGAACTGCTGCAGGTCCTGATCAAAGCACACACCAATCGAAATGCTGACACCAGGACTGCCTCCCAAGAGGTGGACTTGGATGAGTACAGTGCATGGTTCATCGACTGGCAAAGCGGCGTTTCACTGTTTCACGTCGTTCATGGGGCTTGCATGTCGTCATGAATCCAAGAGCACTCAAACTTCAAGGAGGAGATGCTGAACACGTGGAGGCTTGTCAACAGAGTCCTGCCTGCCAGTTTCCCTGGAGGACAATGCAAGGTCATGGCGCTTCGTCATTGCTGCTCCCGATTGCTATTTTGGAGCCGCTGTCATGGAGCGCATCATTGGCACCTCCGCCCCCTGGGGGGGAGGGCGAGGTGGGTGACTGATTGTCTTGGTTCATCCTGTCCTAAGTCCTCTGCAGGTCATTGCCTTCGTAAGCTTGACAACCAACTCCCCCGAGCATCTCGATAGCAGTCAAGCCAGTTGCCATCAGTGCAGAGCTATCCGTGCTCAACTATGGACGCCTTGAGTCTCAATCTGCAGCGATCATTCCCTCTTTCCGTGGGGAGTGCTGGAATATATAAATTGTGCTTGCAGGAAGATTACCTCTTCCTGCTGTCGGTGCACTGTGCCTCGCATCAAGGCCTACAGAGATTACAGGAGAGTAGCCTAGCCGAAGCAGAGTTGTATGCTTTGTAGGAGCGAAAGAGACTTTGGCATCCAACATGCTGTAGCACATGTTTTTGGTTGTCAAGTTGAAGAATTGGCAGTACCGAACTTGCTTACGGATTCAATGGCAGCCCGAAATGTGACTGAGATGTCAGGGTTATTAAGAAGGTTGAGACACATTGATATTCGGATCTGTTTCTTGCAGGATGCGGTCTACAAAGGTGTGATTTCCATTTCACATTCTTTCGAGGTACAGAGAGTTGTGCCGACCTGATGACCAAAGCATTGTCGAGCGCATGGAGAAGATCGGAGTTGTTCGAGGCTTTCTGAATACGTTTGACATTCCATATGATTGGATCGGAAGGTGGTGTTGGATCTTAGAAAAGGTTTCGTGTAAGAGTCTTGTGGTTGTTGAGTTTTGCACGTCACCAGAATCCGAGATGAAAGCTGAAGGAGAACGTTTGGAAGGTGTTGTCTTGACGATTACGGAGGCAGACGACGGAACCTGTGCGGACACGATCGAAGAGACGAGAGAGTCGATGCTGAATCACAAGGAAAAAGGACAGCCTTGCCTTGCCTTGCGGTGCTTGCGTTGCTTTGTATTGCCTTGCGGTGCTCGCGGTGCTTGCGTTGCTTTGTATTGCCTTGCGGCGCTCGCGGTGCTTGCGTTGCTTGCGTGCTTGCGTTGCTTGCGTTGCGTGCGTTGCGTGCGTTGCGCGCGTTGCGTTGCGTTGCGTTGCGTGCGTTGCGTTGCGTGCGTGGCGTTGCGTGCGTGCGTGCGTGCGGGCGGGCGGACGGGCGTGCGTGCGTGCGTGCTTGCGTGCTTGCTTGCGTGCTTGCTTGCTTGCGTGCGTTGCTTTGCTTTGCTTTGCTTTGCTTTGCTTTGCTTTGCTTTGCTTTGCTTT